GGAAGTTTTTTACAGTGTTTTAATTCAGTCAATCGCACGGATCCGTATAAAAAAAAAAAATGTGTCAAGTATCTTGACTAGTATCTCGACTTTTATTTCTAAAAAGTCTTGTATGTGATCAAGTGATACCGAAATCAGCAGCAACGACTAGGTTTTTCTTTTTCGCTTCCAATTTTTATGGTTTCATCATTTCTGTTGGTTAAATAACCATGGTTTTCCTTCCTATCGTTCTTTTGATCGATTTTCACAATTTCTGAAACCAAGAACCGTGCAGCTTCTTCAATGTTTTTATTATTCACTGCCGAAGTCTTAAACCTAAATCGGATTATTAACATATTGAAGAATTTTAATTTAACAAAAAAAAAAAAAATTTTTTTTCAAGATACGAAAAATTGTTATGAAATTAATTACCATTTTGCGAAACCATTCTCTTCACAATATTGTGATATTTCGGCATCAGATTTTGTATTAGGTCCTTCATGGTTAAGATCACACTAAAATAAGCGAATGTTTTAGTTAATAAACTTAAAAAACATGATATATCCATATACGATTCACATTTTATTAACCTTATTAGCCAGCAATACAACTGGAATAGGACCGCCACCCCAAGCTTCTGGCAAGGTTACTTTCTGATCTAGATCGGATTTCCATTTGGAGACTCCTTCAAAAGTGTAAGACCGTGTTACGTCGTACACAATGAGGGCCCCAACGGCTTCTTTATAATAAAACTGATCACAAAAAAAACAAAAATTATGTATAAAAATAATTTTAGATTGAATTTCTTTTCCATTTTAATTTTCTGCAAACTTACTCTTGTCATGTTTCCAAATTTTTCATGCCCAGCGATGTCCCACATTTGTAATCTAACCAATGTGTCCGGTGACCATTGTAAGATTTTTTGAGCAAAGTCAACACCAATCTGATGATTAAAAAACGATTAAAAAGGCATATCAGTTGATTATTCATCAAGACAACTCTTCAACCTGAAATATAATTTATTCTCATAAGACTTGCGATTTTATAACAAAAATATTTGGCAAACCGTTAAGTAAAAAAAATCAAAACCATAGGAGGCTTAATTCGCTTGACCAACGAGTATTATTACGAATCGATTTTATGGTAAAGTCCTTTTTTTTTTTTTTAAACGGTTTATCCATATTTGTTCTCGATATAAAATTCAAACCATAATAATACTTACAGTACTCTTATAGTTCATGGAAGAAAGGTTATGAACATAACGTTTGATTATACTGGTTTTTCCTGTTCCTAGATCACCTAAAACCAAAATTTTATATAGATGCTCTTGCTTTTAAT